AGCTGTGTGACCACACAATACATAGGCGTTTAGTAGGTGATGTGATGTGTGATGTAAAAGTTAGCTTTGTGGCTTGGTATACTTACGCACCATAGCATTAGGTGCGGGCCGCGAAATGCGATGCTTGTGAAGTACCTCTGTGTGTGCGTGCAAAGTGATGAGCTGCATTCGGGGCCATGTACGGACTTAGTAGTTCTGCTGTGAAATGCATACAGGACCTTATTCTCGAAACAACTCCTGTTGGCGGTGCGTGCAGTGCTCGCGGTGGGACACCCACGGTTTACTATTACGCAGTAAAGTTGAGATCACTGAGCGGGCAAAGGTCAGCGGCAAACTAGAGAGAGTACCCTAACGAAGTCAACTACGAAATGTAAGATTGAAGTGGCCTCCAGCGGCAAACAGGATTGGGCGGCTATATATTGGCCCTTTTGGGGGGCGATGGGGGGGCTTGGGGCGGAGCCGTCTAGCTCGGTGGGTGGCACCACGTTTGTGGCATGAGATAAGAGGCAGCGTTGGTGCCACGTGAGGTCATTGTCGTCGAGATATTCGAGACGCAACCGCATGCGACACGAGTGCCCAGTTGAGGCGGACGGTGACATGTATGCATGTCAAAGTCGCATTTATTGGATTGATGGGTTCTATGTTTCATAATATGTATGCCGCCTCATCCCAGCCAGGGACTACACTACTGTAGCTCGCAGGTCGTGTGACGTCTGTAGTCATTTCACAACGCATTGACCCCTTGCAAGCATAGCGTTAGCATTTTTCAGAGCGAATGAGCCACAAAAATGAATAGGAAATCAGCGTAAACCAATAGACTGCACCAGTAGCGCAGTGCAAATGATTCGCCAAAGAAACAACTTCTCTCCGCTTACTTGCTTTAACATGGCGACCATTAACCTCGCCAAAGATGCAGTGCAAGCATCGCGGTGATCATGTCTTGAGGTCATGTATATTTCAGCCAATTATAGGCGTGCAATATGGAGTAGGATGCGTGGCCTACGATTTCGCAAAACGTTCGCTACTTGACCCGTTATATGAGTTATTGTATGGTCATGAAGTTTGGTAAATGCGAAAATGTAGGCCAGCTGTCCTACGTCTCTCTTGATTGTTGTATATCTGGCCTACAAAATCTGATGAATGGAAGTTGTTGAGACTTGGTTTCGTCACGAGTACCAGAATCACACCAGCAATTGCAGCCTGCAAGTGGTTTTCAACGATGTCGCATACCGGTATGCAAGCCGGTGTTATTGTCGGCACTCATTACACCTAGCTCAAGCACGTATAAGTTATTAAGCAACGACTGGTAGTTACTGCAGCCCCATGCATGTGCCGTGCTTCAATTTCCCTGGTGGCTAAAGGATCTGTGCACAAATTTCTCGCACCAGTGTCGATTTTGAAGTCCGGGGAGGAAGAAAATAGGTCAGTGGTAGAGCATCGGTTTCTTAACTCAAAGGTCGTGGGTTCGATCCCCGGTTTCCCCGGATTATTTCCGCAAAGTTTTATCCGTCCCTCCTGGGGAATCCGAATAACAAGGGCTGCGTACGAAGACGAGCACCGAACTTCGAAGAAGGTCGCTCGAAGCATGAGGTGTGCGAAGTAAAAACCGAAGATTACACACCGCCCCTTGTCGAGCAGGCGCGTTACAATTGGCGAAGCGGTTCTACAGCATGTGTTTCTAGTATTGGCCCTCGCGGAGGAATGTCTTAAAAATGATAATCCAAACTCAATTAATCAATAGAGCTCTTTCGAAGATTCGTTGAGTTAGAATTTGAAAGTCAAACATGTCGCAGCGAAGTGAAACTCACGCTAAATATTATGGCTCTTTCGAAGACCCCAAGAGTTTGAGTTTGACACAACCCATGAGTGCCCATTACTTCCACTCAGTCAAATAAGTACACTTGGCATCAAAGTCATAGTTCTCGAATAGACAAAGTTATCTTAACTTGCATCATACTTAGAGATACAAATTTCAAGAGATATGACCAACTTACTGAAAATTATTGAAATATTTTCGCCCGCACCATTAGAGCATCTCCACCGCATTCCAGTAAATCGACACACCAATATCCGCATAGTGTTCGGATAACAACCTCCAGTACTGTAATGGACTGATAGATAATTCAGGATAATTCGCACCGCAAAAAGCCCAACTCCAGCCAGTAAATTCACCATCATTCGAACAGCCTGAGTGGAAACCCGCGTTAATTTCGACAATGAGGTATGCTTATCTCCAGGAATGGCACGCAATCATGCGCAACATGCATGCATATGTGCAAAGTTATCCTTAGTTTTCGGCACCAACGAGGCGGTGGGTGATGGGGAGGGCGGCGTGACAGGAGGAAGTCGTTGGAAGGCTCATAACCAGTTGGATGGGCAGGTAGAAGTAGCAGACAGATGAGTAGTTGAGGGGAGAACCGGAAGTGAATTAATTCTGACGGCAGAGAAGAAACTGGTTCTAGATATGCCAGTTCCTCCAACAGCGAATGAAATCTTAGATTATGATTGGCCACGACATCCTGTGATGTTTCGTGACGAATCTGCGCTGTCTTCTACTCTGAGGAAAAGCCTCTAGAAGGCATAAAAACGTCCTACACATCTAGCAGACGCTGCTACATGACTGACAGGGCAGTGGGGATGTTCTCTAGAAGAACAGGGTGTTCTGACTCACTCCGTTGCCGGTACTAGTGCGGTTGCGACCTATCATCGCGTCTACGCTTACATGCGCTTGAAAACGAACCAATACACAACATTTGATTGATAGTCTACGCATGCGTTAACAGAAGTCCAGAAGTCGCAATAGAGGGGGAGGGGGCATGCTCCGTTGGTCGAGAAACCAGTGCCTGTGATGTGGGCACCGTACACGAGCGAGCGGGTGCAGTGCTGGGGCAACGCATACAGGCGCTGGTTCCACGCGACCTGGTCGTCGTTGCATCTGTTCAGGCGCCAACTTTCGGAGTGCTTCCTACAAGAATCGCGATAAGATTAACATTATCGGTCGGCGAGGTTGGCACATGCTGAAGGACGACTGCCGTCATGGCCAATGCCGGCAGTCGTCCTTCACCATACAAGCGTCACATGCAGTCGTGTCGATGAGACACACAAGATAGGACTCATGGACTCACTCTAACTTAGCGTTGAGCGGCGCGCTATGTGGGGTCGAGGGCACGCACCTGTACTTGGCCGACATGGTGGCATGCCATTGCAACCAGGTAATCCTAAACGTGTTGGGAATTGTATGGACATGGAAATGTATGCGGGCCAGAACTCTTAACCAATCGGTCAAATCTGACGAATAATCTGACTTTAGCGCGCCGGATAGAATTTAGAGTCCCGCGGTGGGAGAATTAAAACGTTAAAATCTGACTGAAAAAATACAGTTTTGGAGCTTTAACCCTTTAGGCGCCACGAGTGGGGATGCTCTTAGAAGTTAAGTTAATGCTAAATCCCCAGGGTTAAGTTCAGGTGGTCAGAGTACAAAACATATGCCTTATCTAACTAGAGTTAATTCCCTTTATCTGGGTATTTACGAAACAAACTACGAAACACACCAACTATTGTGCTTTGCACCATTTTTGGCAATTCCAGGGTTAAATTCATTGTTTAAGATTTTCTCAGGCTTAAATAACATCTAAAGTAACTTGAATAACGATTGGGTGCGTTGTTTAATGTTACTTCATCTAATGCGATGATTAGCTGGTTGAAGGTGGTTTTACAGGCACTTTCGCAAAACAACTTATTTGCCGTTTTCATTCTGACAAACAACTTATTTGACGTGAACACGTCAAGGTGCTTGCCGCAATGAAACTGAAGCAGCTATGGCAACATACATGACTTCCCATCCGTGATCACTACAAACATCAACTACTCCGAGTAATTTATAACGTTAGGGATATAGTTAGGCTAGTCGTCGCTTTGTCCAATGATTCAAAGCTATGCCACACCTACAACACTTGATCTGTACTAACGTCAGTACTGTACGTGGAAAGCAAGTGTGAACTACGCACTACACGATGTATAGTACTCCCATTTCACAGCCTAATACGGTATGCATCGTGATGAACTGGTGGTTGAACTGCGTAAGTTGGCCTGGTGCTGCAACTCGATTACCAGTCTGCTCCGCAACATCTGTCACCTCCAACTTCTTATTGGCAGGATTTTTCTAATTCTATTCCATTTTAACCCCTGATTGGTGCATCGAACAGCGCAAGATCTCGTCTATGATTGGATAGTTTCAGCGTGTTCTAGACCGTTTTGCTCGAAAAGTTACGCGACCCCCAAGTAAGCGGGAAATTGTTTTTGAACATCTTTTGTACGCAGTGCATTCATTACTCAATCTTCCAACTTCAAACAACGTACCAATCGTTCGCTAACCTGGTGGTATGCCTTCACCACAACCGCGCGCCCCTCCAGACCCTCTGAATGCCCCGGCACGCCGATTGGGAACGGCAGCTCACCTCACCAGCATGGAGCGACATGCCATCTACGATACCCTTCTCGAAAGATCCGCAAGTGGCACACTGAGTCGTGGAGACTTCGTGGACGCTGCGAAGCAGTTTAACTGTCATGCACGCACTGTTTCGCGCGTGTGGTATCGTGGACGGGAGTCGATACTGAACGGCGATGTCGTGGCGGACGTAGCATCAAAATTACGTGGTAAAACCTCTAGCAATTTATAGATATATTCGTTTTCATAGATATCAATATTAAGCGTTGTACTATTTTAGGGAATTCTGCAGTAAGAAAAAGCGCTCAAAGGAAGAGATCGAAAAAATCATTCGACAAGTGCCGCACCACGACCGCCAAACCTTGCGCTCTTTGGCCAAAAAGTCGAGCATCCTCAAGACAACAATCGTGCGATAAATGAGGGATAATCCGCGTTTGAAGGCTCGCTCAAGTTACGTCAAGCCATTTCTGACCCTGGCGAACGTTGAAGCCTGCCTACGTTTTGCAATGGGGTTCGTTCGACCCTTGCCAAATGGAACTTTTCTTTTATCAGCATGGACAATTATGTCCATGTTGATGAGAAATGGTTCTATTTGACAAAGGTGAATCGAAGGTATTACGTGTACGATGATGAAGAAGTGGCGGCGCGAACTGTCAAGTCGAAGCACTTCATCACTAAGGTCATGTTTTTGGCGGCTGTTGCCCGCCCACGTTTTGACCCGCACACGAGGCGCGTTTTTGATGGCAAGATTGGCGTGTGGCCGTTCGTGGAGGTCGTGGCGGCGAAGCGAACAAGCGTCAATCGCGACAAGGGAACCTTGGTGACTGTTCCCTTGTCTGTGAATGCTGTGGTGTACTATGATACTGTAGTTACTAAGGCTATTCCTGCTATTATGTCGAAATTTCCTAGTACTACTACTAGTAGTGGCAAATTTATTATCCAGCAAGACAATGCGAG